AGGAGGAAGCGGAGCACGAGGGGGAGGTTGTCGAGCAGGAGGACGACGACGATACGAGGAGGAGCGGGCCCTGTGGGAAAACGGGTCCTGGACCCTGGCGCCGTCCCCCGGGGCGAGCTTTTCATCCTGAGTCGTTCTCTGAAGGTCCAGGGGCCCGTGGAGGGCCCCGAGAGACCGAAGACGGCGAAAAGCATCAGAGCCAGTTTCCCTCAGGACCCGCTTCCCCCCTGGCGCGATCTCGCAGACGCCTTGGCGAGCGGCGTGTGGCCGGGCAGCTCCGCCATCCAGTCGCTCATCGGGCAGCCCTGCCGCCGCCGCTGCGCGGGCGCGGCGGCCGGTGGCAGCGGCAGCACCGCGGGGAGCGCGCGGAGGGAGACGAGCCCGCGGCGTCGCAGAGGTGAGCCTGGCGAGACCACATTCGAAAGAACACGTGGATACAGAGGCCTCCCAAACTTGGCTCTGAGCAGATGGGGTCGGAGAATCGCGCCGCTTCGACGCCGCATCGGGGATGCATCGTCGACGTCGGCGATGCAGCGGCAACGTCGACGCGACGCAGAGTAGGGCCCACGTCCAGACGCATCGCCGATGCATCGGCGACGCGGAGCGATTCTCCGCCCTCATCTGCTCGGACCCCACTCAGGAGGCATCTAAAGAAACTGGAAGGGAGCAGAGCAGGCAGGGTCAGGACTGGGCTGGGCGTGGGCTTGGGGTCGGGAGGCAGCTTCTGCGAGGCCTCCGTGAGGACCCAGCGATCCGAGGATCGGCGACCTACTGTTAGGTCGGGCACGTCCCCCTACAAGCGGATTGTGGACAAGTAATAATAATAATCATAATAATAATACTACTACTACTAATAATAATAATACTTCTACTAATAATAATAAGAATATTAATACTAATAATAATAATAGCAATAATAATAATAATGATAATATTAATGATAATAATAATAATAATAATAATAATAATAATAATCCAACATAGTTCAAAAATACGCGAACAATCGTTCCCAAACTATTCTTCTACTATTTCTGAACTTTCCTCCTGTAGAGGGACACGCCCGACTTCATGACCCAGATCTCCGAGGATCGGGGATCTACTGGCCCGGGTGAATCCACACCGGGGCCAGTCGGGCTTTGCAGGGTCCTGCAAGATCCTGCACGCGAGCCCCCGGGTCAGTGCACCCCTGGCTCTGCAGGATCCGGCGCTCTAGCGGACCCCCGTTTGCGCTGCCCCCCCATACAAGCCTCGGAACAAATTAGCGAACACATGCCTCATTCATCCGTGAACTTCTCCCCCTCCCCCCAACGTTCAAAGTTGGCGGTGGGTCTGATGAGATGCACTTCGACCGCAGTCTCCCCCGCGCGTGCCAACATTGAATTTGGGGGGGAGGGGGAGTGTTCAGTAATTGTTTCCCTCTACCGTATTGCGCCTGGATCTCCGAGGATGTGATCTATTCAATCCTGGCGTCTTTCTTGCGCTTCGGCCTCCAGTGTCACTTAGTGGGCCCGGGGCCCCCATACACGGGCCCGGGACAAGAGGCTACCCTTGGCAGGAGTTCGGAAGCTCTGGGGTCGCAGAATGAAATTCAATATCTGAGCATGTTTCGGTAAGAACGATTCCAGGCGATTGGGCCCGATCAAGGGGCCAGTAAGCTGGATCACCCCAGATTGAGCCCAGGACTGGCCCGTACTAATCCAAACTAATTTGGATTAGGCAAGTTTGAGCGGGATTCTGCTGGATCAAACCAGCTTGCGGACCAGAAATAGCGCTCTGCAACACGAGAAGTGGGGCCTTGAACACGAGAACCGCCGCTTTGCACAAAAAACAATGATTGAGCGGAATTTCGCCGGACCAGGCTGCCCTTCGACCACAGAAACGCCAGCGCCGACGCTGAATCTAACCTCACACGAGTTGCATCCCGAGTGGGGCGGGAGGCGGGGCGGGGCGGCCTTCTGAGACAGGCCTTGGAAGACATTAGCGAAGACTCGTGCAACATTCATCTGTCAACGCCCCCCGCGATGATCAATGTTGGCGGTGCGTTCAACGAGTTGCACTTCGACGCGTGCCAATTGTCAGTTTGGGGGGAAACGAAGTTCCCACTAAAGTCGGACCTAGGACAGAAGAAGATCGTTCAAGAACAGGAGACCCTCCGGCGGCCAAAACGCACGGAACAGCCAATGGTGCCCTACCCCAGGATGCCCAAGAGCATCCAGCGCACGCGAAGAACACCAGGGCACCCTCCCCGAGTCGACCTCGGTCTTCCACCTCGGTGGCCCTCCTGCACCCTCAGAGAACCCGCGGGTCTCCTGGGAAAGGCCCGCATTGCTGCACTTCGCCGCGTGCCAACCACCTTGAAATTGGGGGAGAAGGGAGGGGGTCCACGAGTTGTTTCCTTATGACGGGAGGCAGGGAGACTCCTGTTGGGCCTGTGTTGTTTCACGTGGCCTTTCTGGGCCCTGCCCTGCGGCTTGGGCCACGCGGTCAACGCGGGCGGCGGCGGCGGCGGCTTCCAGAACCTCGTCCCTCGGCTGGTTTTCCGCGCCGCGTAGCAGGTGCAGCGTGATGGACGGGGCTGAGAGGAAGTCTGGGAGGCGCGAGGGGAGGAGGAGGTGGAGGAGGAGGGAGGGGAAGGAGGAGGAGGAGGAGGAGGACGAGGAGGAGGAGGAGGAGGAGGAGGAGGAGGGAGGGGGAGGAGGAGGAGGAGGAGAGGAAGGAGGAGGAGGAGGGGAGGAGGAGGAGGAGGAGAGGGAGGGAGGAGGAGGAGGAAGGGAGAGGAGGAGGAGGAGGAGGAGGAGGAGGAGGCGGAGGAGGAGGAGGAGGAGGAGGAGGAGGAGTGAGGAGGAGGAGGAGGAGGAGGAGGAGGAGGAGGAGGAGGAGGAGGAGGGGGATAAGGAGGAGGAGGAGGAGTTTTTCAACTGGTGCGGCGCCAAGCGCGCAGGCACAGCAAAGCGGCTCAGGCACAAGCCTGACAGAAAGAAAGGGCCCGAGCACCTCCCAGAGGGAGTGCCAGCAGGCGCAGCCAGCGCGACCAGGGAGCGCAAGGAGACCGTGCTCCGCGCACCCTGATCGGGGTAGGGGGCGCCGGAGCCGTGCTCCGACGCCCAACCTACCCACCACCTACTCCATAGGTGGCCGCGGTTTCGGACGCCGGGACACCCAGGACCGAACCAAAAAAGGGACCACGACACGACGCGACACGACGGGGGGACGCAACGGACGACACGACACGAACGACACGACACGGACGAACGACACGACAGAGACGAGCCGCCGGTCCCGCCCCAGGGCGGCGAGCGCTGGGGGGAACCAGCACCGCCCTGGGGGAGGCCACGGGACCTGGCGACCCCCCCGGGGGAAGGAAACCGCACTTTGGCGGCGTCCCCCGGGGTGCGGGGGCTTTTCGCCCCTCGGGCCCGGCGCTCCCCGCCTGCGCCAGGAGGACCCTAGGGTCCCGACCCCTCCCCTACGGGAGGGGCCCCCTCGGGGCGGAGGAGGAGGAGGAGGAGGAGGAGAAGGAAAAGGAGGAGGAGGAGGAGAAGGAGGAGGGCTCCCCGAGAGGCCCTCCTGCATCCGTTGTAGGCCCCGCGGGCCCCCTCGGAGAGGGGCCCGGGCATGCCTGCCTGGGGAGGCCGCCACTCTCGCCTCGCCGCCCCCCCCCCCCTCTCCCCCTCCCTGTGCGCGCCGCAGAGGCTGGGGCCACCTGGACAACCCCAAACCCCTAAACCCTAAAACCCTACACGTCGTTCATGTCTAATCGCACTCATTTCTAATTGTGCTCGTTTCTAATTGCTCCTGGACCCCTAGTGGCCCGGAACAGGCCCAGGATAGAACACGTAGAAATGAAAGGATCTTGGCCCCCCAAAAATCAAAGAACTTTCGAATACTTAGAAGTGAACAGTGCGTGAACACCTAACCCTAGAATCCTAAACCTTCACGACGGAAAACACACAACGCATCCAAGATCTGCGCGAGCGGGTGCATCGTTTTTGTTTTCCTCCACGAGGGATCACAGCGAGGCCGGCTGGCGGGGCCCAATGAGAGCCGTGGAGCGGCCCGCAGACCCCTATCCGTGGTGTAGGCGCTCAACCCTGACCTGGGATCGCAGGGATAACAGCTGTCGCGGGGCGATCGCACAAAAACTCCGCCCCAAGAGGCATCCGAGGCGCCCCCCAGGAGGCCCCCAAGAGCCCCTGAAGCTGATGCACGGGAGCCCCCCGAGGACCCTCCAGAGAGACCGACAAAGGAGCAGCCATGAGAGCTCTCACCCACAACCGCAGCAGCGCCGACCGACAGCGCCGCATGACCCACGAATGCGCCTGCAAACTCCAACGATGGCACAATACGGGCCAGCGGAATGAGCGAAGCGATTGACGGAAAACTCCACTGCTCAAGTCATTGCTCGAGGCTCAGACTACCTGCACTCAGGAAACCTGTCATGACCAAACATGGCAAGGTGCTCGCGACGAGCCTTGGAAACTGCGGGGAGGCAGGGAGGAAGCAGAGGGTGCCGAGGGTGCAGAGTGGGGGAGACAGCGGAGGCTCGGAGGGATGAGGGCAGGGAGGCAGGAGAGACAGGCATGCAGGCAGGCAGGAAGGAAGCCAGAGAGGCATGGAGCAGGAGAGCAGGGAGGGAAGGAGGGGGAGGGGAACAGAGGGAGCCAGAGAGGGATGGGGGAGGGAGGCGAGGGAGGAGGAGAGGAGAGGAACAGTGGGCGGAGAGGGGAGGAGAGGATAGCAGAGTGGGAGGGGAGCCAACCGTGCGCCTGCAACGACGGCCACGGACGTGGCCCTCTGGTCTCTTCCGGCTGGCCCCCGTGCGCCCGGCGCCCGGCCACCCTCTCCACGACCGGCCCGGGAGAGCCCGCTCTGCGTGCGCGCGCGCGCTCCTCGCCGACTGGCGCTCGGGAAGAAGGGCGAGGGCCAGGTCGGACGTGTCCCCCCCTTCAGGCGGATTTTGGACGAAGAATCAAAAGTATATTCGAGACATATTCAAAAATAGTCAAAGAAACAATCGGAACATCGTTCCCAGACCATTTTCCCAATATTTTTGCAGATGCCTCCTGTAGGGTGACATGCCCGACTTAAGGCGAGGGCGTGGGAGCCACATCTCTTGGACGCCTCCGGGGCTCTGGAGCTGGACGGGACCCGTCGCGTTCAACAGGGCTCGGGGGCCTTCAAGAGGGGGGAGCGCAAATCATGGTCGGCGGCATATGCGCGGCCCAGGGGGGGGGCAGAATGCCTCGATATAAAAAGAGGGGCCATGAGATCTGGGGAGATAGCATCGGCCCCCGCCATGAGGTTCCCCCCTCCTAGTCGTAACCCCCTCTTGGTCGCCCCCGAAGGGCGCTGGCCAGGGTATCTCTTGGGAGGTCCCGGGGCGGTGCGGTGACAGGCCGTGCGGTGACCTCGCCGCACGGTGCGTCGCTGCACGGTGCGTCGCTGCACGGTGCGTCGCTGCACGGCGCACGGTGCGTCGCTGCACGGTGCGTCGGTGGGAGATCCCCGAAGACCTCGCCGCACGGTGCGTCGCTGCACGGCGTGGGGACCTTGGAGGCCCTGGAGGCCTTAACCGTCCGAGAGGTCGTCGGGTAGCGACCCAGGTCCAAAGACCGTGCGGTCACCTCGAATCCCCGCTGGCTCACCACACGATGTGGTCACCGCACCGCTTGGACTCCCCCGGATCACCAACATAGTGTGGAAGTTCGGCCGAGGATTTCGGCCAGGGCCCATGATCGTACCTCTTGCTCCTTCGAGGACCCACGCCAATCATGATCATCATCATCATCATCATCATCATCATCAGCAGCATCAGCATCAGCATCAGCATCAGCATCAGCATCATCGTCAGCATAATCGTCATCATCATCAGCATAATCATCATAATAATCGTCGTCAGCAGCATCATCAGCAGCATCACCAACATCATAATCATCATCAGCATATCATCATCATAATCATCATCAGCATCATCATCATCCTCGTCATCATCAGCAGCAGCAGCACCAGCAGCAACATCACCATCATCATCAGATATCATCAGCAGAAACAGCAGCAACATCATCAGCATTAGTTATCATCACCACCATCACAATCATTGCCACCATCATCACCAACATCCTAATCACCGCAATAATCGTGATCATCAGCATCATCACTATCATCATCATCAGCATCATCACCAAACCTATCAGCATCAGCATCATCAGCAGCAGCACCAGCATCATAATGATGATGAGGATCAGCATCATCATCACCATCATCGTGAACGTCATCACCATCACCATACTCATCACCAGCATCAAGATCATCATCATCATCAACATCCCCATCATCATCACCACCATCATCATCAGCAACAGCATGCAGGCGGTGTTCGAGCTTGTGCTCCTGGCCGTCTCAGATGCAGCGTATCATCAGAATCATCCTCAATAACATCCTCATCATCATTATCATCGTCATCGGAGTCGTCATCGTCATCAACAGTATCATCATTGCCATCGTCATCGTCCCCAGCGTCATCGTCATCGTCGTCGTCGGCATCACCACCAGCATCATCATCATCATCATCATCATCGCCATCATGATCATCATCATCCTCACCATCATCACTGTCGTCACCATCATCATCATCATTATCAGCATTATGAACATAGTCATGTTTGCTTGGCCTCTAGGCCTCTCGATCTCTTGTCGCCGCGGGTACCTTGCTGAAGGCTCCGAGGCCCAAAAAACACCCTATAGGCGCAATCGCACCAAGAGCGATCGTCATGATCTTCTCGGGACGCCCGAGATCTGGCTTGCGGCGTGCATGAGGGGGTCGAGCGGGGTGGGCGTGGGAGGGGAGCTTCTGAGGAACGGGGGGAGGGCTCTTAGAAGCCCTCCCAACCTGCGAAGGAGGTCTCTTAGGAGCTTGCGAGCCCTTCTAAGAAGCACCCTGCCTTCTCAGAGGTCCAGTGCCCTTTGCGGCAGCCCCATTGTGCGGCGGCAGGCCAGTCGCTCATTCCTCCTCCTCGCTCCTCCTCCCCGTCCACAGACAAAGACGGCGAAGAAGAGGGAAGGAAGGATGAGGCGAGAAAAAGAGGACGAGGAAGGCGAACGCCCGAACCAAAAAAAAGCTGGTAGGGAGAGCCCAGCTGTGGCGCCAAGGGGATGTCCAGGCGGCCTTTCGGACGCCCTTGTCGCGGCCAGCGCGGCGCGACAAAGGAGGGCGCCAGGCTCGTGGGCCAGATACGGTCTTGAGCTCCTGCCCAGCGCGTCGCAGAGGGCAGCCCTGGCAAGTCGCGAAGACGAAGTTCCTGACCGCGAGTACCGGTGTCCACGGCCTTGCGGTTCGGGCGCCTCGGCTGCGGCCCCGCGCCGAGTCCGCGGGCCGCTCGGCCAGCGGGCCCCCTAGGGGCAGCGCGGGTGGGCCGGGGCCTGGTTACTGCACTTGCTGGACGAAGGCGCGTGTCCCAACGGAGTCAGAGCCGAAATCGGAGAGATGGGATGGGACCAGGGGTCGGACAAAAAAATAGCAGGGGCCTTGGCGAGGGCCTCCAGGGGCCGAAAACGTCAACAAAAACGCTCTCGCCGCAATCTTCTCGCGACGCGAGGGGGCTCTCTGGGAAGGCGAGGCCCTGCCTGGAGCGCCCCATCTGAATGTGCAGAGCGTGCCCCGCTCCGCGCTGAGGTGTGGGAGGAGGAGGAGGAGGAGGAGGAGGAGGAGGAGGAGGAGGAGGAGGAGGAGGAGGAGGAGGAGGAGGAGGAGGTGTGGAGGAGGAGGAGGAGGGGAGGAGGAGCAGGAGGAGGAGGGGAGGAGGAGGAGGAGGAGGAGGAGGAGGAGGAGGAGGAGGAGGAGGAGGAGGAGGAGGAGGAGGAGGAGGAGGCGAGCAGCGAAGCAGGCTCCCCGCCCGCGGCCCCGCGGCCGACGCCGGGGCCGACGGGCCTGCCCGAGGGCGCGTGGTGGCGGCCCCGTGCGCCCCATCCGCGGCCCCTCCGCGGCCATGGCCCATGCAGCGGCAGCGCGCCCCAGGCCTAGGCGCCCGGGGGGGGGGGCTGTGGCGCAGGCTCCCTCCGCGGGCCGCCGCCGCTCCTGAGCCTCTCCGCCTCCTCCCCGGCCTGCCCGTCGTCCCCTCCCGCCTCCCTGGCATGCCGCCCCGCCCTCTTCCTCCTCCGCCTCCTCCTGCTTGCTCTGCCCTTTCTTCACCTCGCCCCTGTTCCTGCTCCTGCTCCTCCTCCTCCTCCTCCTCCTCTTCCTCCCCCTTCGCTTCCTCCCCCTCCTCACTCGCCGCGCCCTCCTTCCCACTCGTCGCGCCTCGCACCTCCTTCCCCCTTCCCTTCCTCGCACGGCCCTGCGCACCCCCGCTGCATGGCGCGGTCGCCAGGCCTCGCACATCCCAAGGATCACTGCGCATCCCGCCTCGCATCCTCGACGGACGGCCGCACCACACCGTGGTCGCCACACCCCACGGGATCGCGCCCCACGCCCTCGACAGAACCCGACACCATACCACGGCCGCCAGACCCCACATGATCCGTGACATCCCCGCGTGCCCCGCATCGCGTCCTCGACGGCTGACGCCACCCTGCACACCAAACAGCCACGAGGGGGAGGCGTCACGGCGTCACGCCGTCCAGGCTTCACGACGTATGAACAGAGAGGCATACAAGAACAAACAACAATAACTGGCACACCTTTCATACTAGACATACGATGACATAACAGAGCATGACATACCATAACACCACAACGCATACCGTAACAATCGGCTCATGGCATAACACAGACTCGCCGATCCGATCATCTCATACCATGACGATACATTTAAACATCAGAGCGTAACATCGCATCACATGATAAACCAGGGGAAATCAGACCGCCGCATATTATGACGGGGCAGCCATACTAGAGTATTACATCAAAGTTCACATAGTATCATGACATGCTTGGCCTACGACTGCTAGCATTACGGCAACGGCTGTGCCATAACATGCAGTAACACAGCTTAGTTGGAAACGAACCTCCTAGCACATCATAGGATAAAGTAATGTATCGAATCTGTCAGACAATACTACAAGGTAACATCACATGGCATCACGGAGCAACATTTAGCATCGCACACCTTTGCATAACCATCATCAGGTAACACACCATGTCGTACTTAAGCGAACCATAATGCAACCTAGTGGGGCATAGCACACTATAGGTTAACCGAACATGCCATAACAATCCACCATTGTTTTGCTACTGATGCAACTACAGCAGCGATACGCGAGACCATGCAATAGCACAACAACTTTGAGCATACACATCAATGCAAATCATGGCATAATAAGAACATGCCGTGCAATAATGCACAAGTCATGGCGTAGCACAACAGAGCGGCATAGTCTGACGCACCATACCAGATCAAGCTATACCGAAAGTACAACACCGCGGACCGTCACAAAACATGCCATGCTCGCTTTTCTACCGTTGCCACTACGGCAACGAAGATAAGACAACATAACCGGCTACAGCAACCTCTACACCTGACATTGCATAGCAGTTTAGCTCAATGCAATGGCATTTCGCGTATACATCGCACAACAAAACATACACCATCAAACATAAGTCTGCAACATTATTTCTCGGACAACTGACAGGGATATCTCATAGGTCTGGCAATACCAATGCAACTGATACCAGAGAAGCTAAACAAACATAGCAAAACAAACATCCAGTGCACTGCGATACCATGAACTTACATACGATAGTATGTCAAGGAGGGCATCAGTGGAGCGCGAGATCATAGTAAAATGCAATACCAGAAAAAAAAAACAAACCAGTCGATAAGGGTGTGCATCTGGCTGCGGCAAAGGGATACCCGAAACTAGTGCGTCTAGACAAGTTGGGGAATACCGATCGGACACACACGCGACCATAATATATCATAAGCAGAACTACGATAATACGTAACATACCATATTGCTGCTGAGGCAATTTACTACTGGAGACAGGTGAACGTACCACAACATATCATAGCATGATGCAAACAAACGTGATACACTATGACATAACATGCGACAGCGTCAATCAATATATTCGAACGGTGCAGAAGCGAACATGGCTGCATACAACAACGAAGAACACGTCAACGACCGATTAACGGCGTCCTATCAAACGCGACGTTCGCGCCGAGGACCGGCTGGCCACAGGAACACACAATTGCATTGATGACCGATTGGGCGACGTATCAAACTTGCCATTCGTCTCGTGGTAACGCAGTCCCGTTCTACAGGATTCCTAACCGAGGGATTCCTAAGGATTCCTCTAGATTCCTTTGGATTCCTGAGGATTCCGATGGGTTCCTATGTATTCGTATGGACTCCTTTAGTTCCCTCAGGGTCTCTAAGGATTCCTAGGAAGCCCTAGGGATTCATCTGGATTCCTCGGGGTTCCTGAAGATTCCTAAGCATTCCTAGGAATTCTCAGAGATTCCTATGGTTTCCTGATTCCAAAGGTTTCCTATGGATTCCCAAGGATTCCTGAGGATTTCAAGCGTTGTTGTTGCGTTGTTGTTGTCGTTCGCCCCCCCCCTTCCCCCACACCCCGGGGGTGCCTGCCCCGTCTGGATTACCACCAATAACACGAGCACCAACAACAGCAACCACAACCACAACCACAACCAACGCCACAATCATTTTCAGACTGTTCGTTTTTTTTGCTCGCGTGCCAACCAAAACGTAATTCCCAAACCCTTGATGCCCGCCCTCTTCGTCTTCGATCGTACCCCCTTAGGGGTATATATTCCTGACCTGCAACGTGTAGTTCGTGCAACCCCTAAAGCAGGGGACGAAAGGAAGGATGGAATGAACGGACGGGTGGTAGGTGGGTTGCCGAAGCGTACGTCCTGCATAAATCGCGGAGAAGTTTCGAGCGATACCGCGACTCCCAAATAAATCGTGAGGACAACCAGAGCGAGAGTGTGATTCCTGAGAGTCGAGGGCGCGGCGTCGGAATAAATTGTGAGGAAGTCCCACGCGAGAGCGCGACTCCTGTATACATGTGAGGATGTCCCGCGCGAGAGCGCGATTGGGGAATACATCCTGAAGAACTATTTGGCGGGAGCCGTTGTTGTTGTAAACGGGTGGCCAGGGGCCCAGTTTGGTGACACCTCACTTCCCCTTGTAAAACACAGGGTGTCAGCCCCGGGAGAAGCATTTTACTCGAAAAACCAAAATGGATACCGTGCAGGGGGGATCAACAAGTTAGAACGGAGACTTCGACGACAACAACAACAACAATACTTTTCAGACTGTTCGCCCTTATATGCTAGAGTGTCCAATAACGCGTATTTCCCAAACCCTCGATACCCGCCCTCTTCGTCTTCGATCGAACCCCTTTCGGGGGGTATACCTTTCTTCTCTGCAGGCCGGTCCCCGGCAAGCGGCGGGGCGGCCGCGGACCGTCGGCCTGGCCAGCGGCAGCGCTGATCGGCGGGGCGGCCGCGGACCGTCGACCCGACCCCAAGAGGGACGGACAGGGGACCAACCACGACGACGACGACGACGACGACGACGACGTCGAAGACGACGGCGACGACGACGACGACGACGACGCGACGACGCGAAAGCGAGAGCGAGAGAGAACGACAGCAGGGCCACGAAGGGCACGAAGTAGGCCACGAAGGGCGACAGCGGGGACACGAAGGGAATGCGTATGGGGCCACGAAGAGCGCGAACGAGCGGGGGCCACGAAGTGCAGATAATGCGGGGCCACAGAAGGCAACTATGGGGCCACTGAGGGTAGCAACTGGGCCACGTAGGACAGTGAGGGGGGCACAAATGGCGACAGCGGGGCCACGAAGGGCATGCACATGGGGCCACAACGGGCGCGACTCCTGGGTGCCTGGGTGTCGGGAGCGCGGCGCTTGGGCAAATTGCCAAAAAATCCAACGCAAGGCCCTTCTTCAGTAAGTTGCAAGCAAGTCTCCAGCGAGAGCGCGACTCCAGAGCGCCGGGAGAGCGATTCCTGAATAAATTGTAAGGCAGCCCCAAGCAAGAGCGCGACTCCTGAATAAAATGCGAGGAAGTTTCGGGCGGGAGCGGGGGTCCTGGCTAAATTGTAAGGAAGTCTCAGGCAGGAGCCGTTGTTGTTGTTGTAACCCGGGGGCCAGGGGCCCAGTTTGAGCATCAAGACTTTCCCTGTCAAAAAACAGGGTGCGAGCGTCGAGGGGCACACCTTGATTGAGAAAAACAGTATGCACCGGTGGGGGGGATCAACAATAATTACTCTTCAGAAATGAGAACTCAACAACAACAACAACACCAACAACAACAACAACAACAACAACAACAATCACTTTACCCGAACGCTCAGTGTTCTCACCAGTGCCAGGGTTTTCATACGACGCCCGCCAATACCCCCACTTTGTGGGGGGGCCGGTTCAAGCTCTACCACATTTCCAAACGACTCTTCGCCACCACCCACACCCAGCTTCCCGCCCTATGACGTTCGGACACTTCACTTCGTGGCCTGCGGACGACCGTGGCTACTACACTGGCGCATGGGTACAGTGACTTGTTGTGGTAACATTTTCTGGACGCTAGCTTAGTATACGACTTTTCCCCCTGTTCCAACACTGGACACCTATACTGGTTTTTGGAAAAACCATTGTTTTTTTTAGGATTCGGACAGCGCGCGCGGGTAGAAATTTTGAAAAGTCGTGCAGGTGTTTTTCGAGGACCTACGGTGCGATTCGTGTGATTTTATGATGCGCGGTGCTAAAATTCTTAAGAAGCCCAATGGTTTTTGGAGATTTCGGCGTGCGCGCGCGAAGAAAAAACGAATGTGTCCCGCATGGTATTATTTGACAGGGATGATGGCCCTGGCAGGTGCGCAACCGTTGTCGCAGAAGTTCGAAAAAGTTGCTCGCAAAAGCCCGTTTGACAGAAATGTTTAAAAAGTGTTGGGTTTCCTACGAATCCGCAAGAGCGCGCGGGATGAGATTTTGACATTTTTTTGTTGAAAAACCATTGGTTTTTTGATGTTTTTATGTTAAAATCGCTCCGAACACTAAGCTTTTGGAAGGATTTCGTCTTGCGCGCGCGAATGTCCACTTTACCT